TTGTTGTTTGGCGGGTCCGAGCTGGGGATTCAAACCCGCCACCTTAGGTGTACGTGGCTGGCGCCTTAGCCGGTTGAGCTATAGGCGCCGAGCCTTCTATCTTTATCTTTAGGGGGGAAAATCATAGTACAAAAGATTGAATAAACATGTTATAAAAATTTCTAAATGAAAAATTTAAATAAACAATCATTTCCCACTTCTACTCCTTATTCTAGTGAAACAGGCATTTGCATTTTATTACATAAATTTGTAACAAGAAGATTTCAGAAGCTTCAGTCTTTTTTAGGAGTGGATGGTGAACCACAAAATCCCATCTTAGAAAACATGGGAGCAACCAGAGCCAGTGGGTCAGAACATAAAATGGAACTGTTCCTATGAGCCCTCAACCTAAGCAAGTATCTAGCACCAGAAAGAAATATTAGTAGGGAAAAGAGCATTTTGCATTGAGTCAAAAATCCCAGTGCCTTTCATCTAACTGATCCATTTGTCTACATATACACAATCGCTAGACATCATAGAAAGAATACGAAGACCTAACAGTCCTGATTGCAGGGGCCATACCTAGTGTTTCCCTATTGAAATCATAACAAAAACAGCAACAACCACCATAATAATACTAATAACAAAATGAAGGAGAGCTTTCGGTCATACAGTGTGAACTATGAGACAGGCATTCTTCAAAGCCTTTACATAAATTAACTCAATCCCCTTAACATCCCTGAGGTAGTTATTATTATTACCCTCATTTAACAGAGAAGAAAATTAAGGCAGAGTCAAAAATTCATTCTGTACCAGGCCACTGTGCTATATATATTTTATGTGCACCACTTTATTTAATCCTCACAGCCTTACTGAGGTTTAGAGGGATAAGGAGATTTGCAAGGGGAAGAGCTGAGGTTAAAATCCAAGCTTTTGACCCTACATCTTATTATTATTATTATTTTTAATTGAGACAGAGTCTTACTTTGTCACCCTTGGTAGAGTGCTAAGGCATCATAGCTCACAACAACCTCAAACTCTTGGGCTTAGGCGATTCTCTTGCCTCAGCCTCCCTAGTAGCTGGAACTACAGGCGCCTGCCACAACACTTAGCTATTTTTTTTTGTTTAGCAGGCCCAGGCCGGTTTTGAACCTACCAGCCCCGGAGTATATGGCTGGCACCCTAACCACTGAGCTACAGGTACCTAGCCTTGGCCCTACGTCTTAATCATTGTATAATAGTCTCCTTCCACTTTATGATGCTGTTCTTGTAATACCTAGCTATAATCAAACTGCTCAGAGAGGGGCAGTGCTGTGGATATTGTTATACCTTGCCCAAATATTCTTTCTGAGGCACTCCTTGCTGCCGTGAGAGATGGCTTCAGAGGGCTATGGCACACCCTTCTCCAGGGACCAGCCCCTGCCTAGAAGTGCCTGGGAAGCTAAGTCCTCCACTTCTCCCCATAGCCAGTGGCTGACTGATACTGGATGGAGCACACAAACCTGGTCCCCTTGCCTCAAGATGCAACTCTGCAGTACCATTCACTGTGGTGCTTCAGGGAGTCAGGCAGAGGCTAAGCTTCAGCTGAAACCTCCTCTTTGCGTGGCTCTTCCTTACCCTGTCCCTTTCTCCTACCCTTGCTCCTTAGAGAACCTCCCCTAAGAAATCACTTACAAGAAACCCTGAGTCAGGCTCCGCTTCTAGGGAGCCTCACCTAAGAGACAGACAAGCTTTATCAAGCATGAGACAACAATGTCTTGGACTACAATCCAAACTGCAATCCAATTTTGAAAAGGATCTGAGCTCCATTATGTACTATAGTGGCTTGGTTGATAATGAAGCTCAGATCCTTTTAAAAAGTGACTGCTTCAATCAAAGCAGCTCAGAGGAGGCTTCAGAACTTATATTTGTTGGCTTTTCAAGTAAAAGTATTTTTGGCCTTTTAAAAAAATCCACATTTTTGCTTTAAACACTTTATTTACACATTAAAAAAAAAGTTGAAAACACAGGTCTTCAAGAACACTTACTTTACTAAGGAAGCTTTTCGGCACAGTTTGTCAGCCCCTCTGTAGTAATTCACCAACTGCATCAGCCCAGGCTCGTGACCTGCAAAGGAAGGAGCAGCTCAGAAGGGAAACAGGACAGGTGGGGAAAGACAGTGTCAGCACCAGCTTGCAGGAGAGAACAGCTGAGCCACTCCCAGCTTCTCTTTCTCTCCTGTCAGGACTGGTTGTTATGAACGAGCAATTTTATTTCTTGGTCCCCAAGATCCCTCTTTCTCTCTATGCTGCTGGCAATTCTCAACCTCCCCCCCCCCCAACTGTGAATATAATAACATCAACATGGCAGGTCTGCAAAAGATCACCACTATCTTTGTTTTTTCTTGTTAGGGTAGAGGGTGCTGGGAGTATTTTCTATGGCCTGAGGCATATCACATTCCTCTCTTGGCTTAAGACTTATAGATTTATAAGTCTCTGTACAGTGTGGCCCAATCTTTCTTTCTACAACCACCAAGGAAGGGAGAACTATGATGCTAATGGTCTTAAGTATGTCTGTCTACCTCTGCAAGCTTCTCAGAGAGCCACTAGGAGGTGAAGGAAGGTGGTGGAGAGGCCATGTGTATAAAATCAGCAGCTTGAGAACTTTATCTTCTGTGTATTATCCCCCAGAGAAGCTCATTTTCAAAGATTCTTATTACATGTCCCCTTCTTTATAAAATTAGAGCAGAAAGCATACAAAAAAACCCCAAACGCTTATTTAATATAAAAAATTATTTTGCTTAAAATCCTAATAAAATGCACTGCATTTCTAGTAACAAAATCGAAGTAAGACCAAACAAAAAGATTTTGAGTTGAAGGTGCCAAAGGGAAGAATAATTCACTTGAGAATGGCATACATCTTCAGGTGTTACGGCCTGTGGGTCACATGCGGCCTGCTGAGGACATTTATCAGACCCGCCGGATGTTTTTGCTGCCACTGCTGTTTAGCAGCCGACTCATCCCAGGGCCTGCAGTCCAGCCCTCCAATGGTCTGAGGGACAGTGAACTGGCCCTCTGTTTAAAAAGTTTGAGGACCCCTGAATCAAAAGTTTCAGGCAGGCATTCGCTGGCTCTCACTGCCTCCCTGGTGCAGACAGCCCTGATTCACACCTGAACTGCTACCTTCTCATGCCCTGGGCACCAGCATTCCTTCAAATGGCTTGCTAAGCCTCTCTTTGGGTTTCCTGAAACGTGCTTTAGGCAAAAGGTAAATATCCCTAACAGTGATGGCATATAACCATTTTTCATTGTGGGATGTTGTTTTCTTTCTCATAAAATCCAAGTGTTTATTGATAGTCCCCTGCATTCATGGTTCCTATTTAGTATTCGGACCCTGTAGGTTTCTACTTCTCACTCCAGGCTTGAACAGCACAGCAATGCCAATCACCCTGCCTCCACCTGGGTAGAGCCATTACTCCTTCTTTTTTTCTTTTACTTATTGCTTTTTTATTTTTTTGGAGACAGAGTCTTCCTCTGTTGCCCAGAGTAGAGTGCAGAGGCATCATCACAGCTCACTGCAAGCTCAAACTCCCGGGCTCAAGTGATCCTACTGCCTCAGCCTCCTATGTAGCTGGAACTACAGGCACACAGTACTATGCCCAACTAATATTTCTATTTTTTGTAGAGATGGGGAGGAGTCTCATTATGTTGCCCAGGCAGGTGTCAAATTCCTGACTTCAAACAATCATCCTGCCTCAGCCTCCCAAAGTGCTAAGATTATAGGTGTGAGCCACTGTGCTGGCCCCCCCCTTTTTTTTTTAACATTAGCCAGGCACTGCCAAGTCAAAAAAGGAAATAAGTAAGTCAGGAAGAGAAGTGGACAATGAAGGGAAGAAATAACTGTTTCCAACTATAAACAGATTTTCCTCTCTTTTCAGAGAGGTATTCTCTTTGTTAAGAAACAAAGGAGAATCTTCAGGCACGTTTCCCATATTCTGAGATATCTGGGGGTTCAAATCAGACTCTCCATTCTGGTGCAGCGTCACTATTCTACACTGCAAACTTGTATAACAAAGAAAAAAATTCAGTTAAGTTTACACCACAACAACATTCCTCAAACTGTTCTGGTTTTATACAGCTATAAGTGTAAAATGCTCTGTGTAAACTCACCCATGGATAGTCAACTCTAAACGGCCGGGTTTCAGTCTTGGCTCATTCAACCTCTGACCACACCTATTTCTAAAAACTGTTTCCCCTCCTGGACATAGAATAGCAAAGATGACTCTTCCTGCAGTACCAATTCTCCTCTTCCGCCCTTGAACTACAACCTACCCCCACCCCTAATGAATTTTGGCGAGGAACATGGCGACCCAGGGAGAGGTTGCACTGCCCTGACCACAGTGAGGGGAGGCTGTGAGACTCTGCTCAGTTTTGCGGGATGTGAGTGGAACCAATAAGGAAAACTCCTGGATTACATCATTTACAAAGGAGCGCTGGTCCTCTTTTCCGCTGCCTTTCCCCCTAGGTGGGTAAGGTGGTGCCCAGCCAGCTTCCATGATATGAACGGAGGCAACTCCCTCAGGGAGAGCAGGGCAGAGACCAGGGTGAACCCAGCCTCATGGAAATCCTTTATTCAACGTACAATTGTGAAAACACATTCTTTGGTGAAACTAATAAAGGTCTAAAATCAGACCCCTCTCCACCCTTCCCTGGGCTAGGTTCCCTTCTGAAGCTCCTGTTTTTAGAATCCAGAGGTCTTTCCCAAATTCCCTGACCGTTCATCTGAGCCTTTGGGTGGCAGAATCCTGAGGGGTTTCAACACCTACACCTCCCGCACCCGCGCCAGGGAGGCAGGAATCTTCAATGCAGAAAAGCTGCAAGGTGACTCCGGCTGGAGGCCAGCCACCGGCGAGCCGCGCCCCATTCCGCGCTCTCTGACCCACCCACCTTGCCCGACTTGGGGACGTCGGGCCCGGGGAACCAGCATACGCGCGGCCTTAAGTGCCAGTCTCAGCGGCTGATGTCCCCAGGCTGCAGAAACCGGTCATTGTCAGGAGACAGCTGCGTCCCCGGGTGGCCGCACAGCGACTCCAGCTCCGAATCCGGAGACGCAAAGGCATTAAAAACTATAGGATTATACCTTTTTAGAACCATTTTGATCCCCCTGACAAGCGACGGAGGAGACGATTTATGACCTTAAAAACAAAAGCGCTCAGTCTACCGGGGCGTGGGAGGAGCGGAGGGCCGCTGGGGGCGGGAGGCGGGAAATGGGGAAGGGCTCACCCAGTCTCCCGAAGGGCAGCCGGTTCCTCTCTCCCAGCATCAAGTTAAACCTGGGGTTGTCTCGTCTCAGCCTCTTCCAGTGGCCGGTGGCGAGAAGCAGCCGAGAGACCTCCGCGTAGACACTGCTGTTCTCGTCGCGCACCACGAAGGTGTACATGGCGAAGGGCCGTGCGCCCGGGGAGCCCAGGCAGCCGCCGCAGGGACCAGCCGGCCGAGGCGGCGGCTCGGCGCGGACCCCGCCCGGGCGCCCCGCTGCGCTCTGGCCGCGCCCCCGCGCCGGCTGGCTGAGCCTCCCGGGTCCCGGCGGCCCAGCGCCCGGGCGCCCGCGCGTCCCCCAGACCGGAGAGCGCTGCCCGGACGCCCGCCCACCCCGCGCCCCGCCCCCGGCCCGTGATTCAGCGCGGCCCGCCCTCTCCTCCCCGGCGCCTGCAGAGGGGCTGGTGGGAGAGGCTCCCGGGCCGCGGAGAGTCGGAGGGGCGCGGCGTGTCGTAGCCTCGCGACTGCGCCGGGGAGAGCAGGAGCCCGAGCCGCGGGCAGACCACCGAGAGCCCGGGGGTCACAGCCCGGGGGCGGGGCCAGTGGAAGATCCTTTTCTTGCAAGGCTCGCTCTAAGTCTTCCTTATGTTGCCTTTTTTTTTAATGGGTAAAAGCAAAAAGTTCTAAGGCCTCATCCTGTGTTTTCTTTGCTTAATTAACAACTGAGAACTCCAGGCGGCTATTGGTTTTGTTTAGATCGAGGTCTCCCTTCGTCTCCAGAGACCTCCTGGATGGAGGTAGAGGTTAGGGGGAGACATTAGACTCCCCTGGTGGAAACTGGTCCTGTACAGGCCAGGAGAGCCCGGCACTCCGCTCCGGTCTTGCCATTTACCAACGTTGGGCCACTCGCTTTCCCTTCTACCAACCTGGATTTCCTCTTCTGAGTGGAGGGGAGTGTTTCTGTAAAGTCCCTTAGGTTCTGATAGGCCACTCTAACTTCCTTTTAGAAAACCACTTTTAGTGCATTTGAGGGACCAAGAAAGGATAAAGACTATCAGATTCCTGTAAACTTCCTACATTCCCTCTAAGTATCCACGTCAGCCCTGAGTCTTACATTTTTTAGATGTAAGAACATCTTTAGAGAAAGAACATTCTGGGACCTCTCCCCATCCTGTTCCTCCTACGATCATGGTACCTACCTATTTTACTGTAGAAGTGCTGTGCTACCTCCCATCTTCGCCCAGATTGCTCGGGGGGAGCAGGAGGGCACTCGGTGGATTTGCGCACTGCCTCATCTATGAGCGTTCACTGGCGGTGGGGAGCTTGCTCAGAGAAGAAATGGGGCAGGCCCAGAAGTGCTAGGTACTTACTTTCCCAACTGCTCTCCATACGTGAGGGATAAGAGCTGGCCGTTAATGTCTGGGCTCCCTCGCCCCTCGGGTGAATCTGCAGGAAGGCAGGTATCCTGGGCCATGTTTCAGTGGTTCTTTGTAGGATAGCGCTCCCGTCGTCCACAACTGCAGCTTGCTCATCTGTACCTCTGTTGACCTCCTTTTCCTGACTCTCTACACCACTCCTCTGCTGTTTCTTGGGATCACCTCCCACATGAACTACTGTACTTGCCCCCAAATCCTTGTTCCATGGTCGCCTTTGGGAAGCTCCACCCAAGACACCGCTGCTGTTACTAGCGATCATCTTGAAAGTGACATCTGCTCTCACTGTGCCCCCTTCATTCCTCTCTACCCACTCCTCCTGCACCACGGTTGGCTTCTCTCTGCCTCTCCATAGCCGTGGATCTCATTAGGAACTGCAGTGACTTCGGAATTTCCAAATCCAGGGGCTGCTTCATGTTTCTCATTTTTGAAATGAGCACCATTTGTGTTGGTTTAGGTTTTGTACTGTACTCCTTATCTCCTTTTCTTGATAATAAAACTCATCTTTCCTCTGGGAAGCCACGTTAAGTGGCTCTGGTGGGATTAATGCTGTCCATTATGGACACAGGAAAATGAATATCCAAGCTTGGTCCAAGAGGGAGTAGTACATCCCTTTTGCCATAGTGACTGGGAAACACAGGAAAGTGATCCAAATCAGGCTAATCTGATTCTCTGTAGGAGTTTTCTACCAGGGCTATAGAGAAAGGCTCATTTTTTATTTCAACTGAATTTGCTTAGATGGAACATTATCTGTGTGGGACAGCTTGCCACTGCCTCATTATCTTACAGAGGGAGAACCGAGTCTGAGAATTCACCTTTCCATCCCCATTAGTCTTAGGCTTGGCATGCGGATATGCGAATATGCTCTTGCTAATAAGTGAGTGATGTGAACTACTTCCTACCATCCTTGGAATGTAGGTGTGCCTTATCCTTCTCCTGGAGATGGGACACACAGTCACAGTAATAATATTGGAAGAAAAAGATGTAAGGAATTTCCCCAAACTAGCTATGCGACAAATTATACAGCAAATCCCAACAAATTTCAAAAGATTGAAAGAATTCTAAACACTTTCTCTGACCAAAATGGCATTAAACTGCTTGGAAATTAAGCATGATTATAGACTCCTAAATAACCTAAAAGTCAGTGAAGAAATCACAACACAATGAGAAGGTATTTTTTGACTCAATGTTAGTAAAGATAATGGCCTATCAAAACTGGTAGGATATAGGTAAAGCTATGTTTAAATGGACATTTGCAGCCTAAAGTACATATGTTAAAAAAAAGAAGACAGACTGAAAATCAATTATCTAAGCATTATATCTAGAAAAAGAACTTTGGAAAGTGACTGTGTCTGGGCCTGGGACTCTGCACAGGCTGTGCGATAGGGACAAAGACTCTGTGGCTCGGGGGCCAGTCAGGCCTGGATCATCCCAGAACTGCAGTTACTCTCTGTGTGGGTTGGGACAAGTTACCCAGCCTCTCTGGGCCTCAAATTCTATCTTTAAAGAATGGAATAATAATGTGACAATTGTGAGGATTAAACGATATATAAAAAGCTTAGCACATGTCTGGCATCTAATAAGCTCTCCATAATGGGATATTACCACATTTGAGTGCTGCACTTACATAATAGCCTGGGCAAGACCATAACAGAGCTTGGGATGGTTTGTCTCAATTATGTCTGTGGAACAGAAGGATTGGAAGAAGCTACAAAGTTTATCAGTGGTTGGTAATGCAAGGATTGGATTGTTTCATTGTATTTCATGTCAGTACTCATGCCAAGACGTCTCTGCTGCCTAATATAATATATACAATGTTAAGTAATATATACATATTTACTGAACCACCCTGCTTCTGTGTGTCACACTTTTCCACTGCTCTCAGCCATCTCACTCTGGAAGCCAAAAGACATTAGGTAGATGTACTAGGTTGTAAGGTGCCTCAAAGCAGGTCCCTTGACTTTATGGCCCTCCAAGTATTTCTCAAAACTAGAACAAAAAGATTTTCCATTTGGCTGAACTTATTAATGCTGAGATTAGAGTAACTGGCCATGTTGTTCTTCCTGGCAGCACTGATCACTAATGCAGAGACTTTTGAATACCAGAAATGACTTAGGCTCAAGGGATGAATTATTCATTCAACATTTTGACATGAACTTGTTGCAGGCAATGTTCTAGGCATGAAGAAGAGAAGACAAAGTCCTTGTCCTCACAGAGCTTATATAAATTCCTGGGGGAGGTTACATTTTAATGGATGCTAGATAGAAATTTTTAACTGAAGGAGCACATATTCCCACCATCTCAGCTGCTGGAATTCTGAGGTGGGTAACCATAGTGGAAACAGGAATACTTTCTGAAAACTCTCACATCCTAATGTGTAGGAAGAAGTTCCTTATGTCTCTTTGTCACCCAAGTCATGTTCTCCTCTTGCTTCCTATTTTTTGTGGAATGGATGCAATGTTTCAAACATAAACATAAAAAAAGAAAAATGACTCAGTGAATTGCATTCAAAAGATAACTTCAAAACCTCCTAGAGTCATAAAGTGTCAGTGACCAAGACACACCCCTGCCTCCTGTCCAGAGGCCTCTGACAGAGCTGAACACTCCTGTTGGCCTGGCTGATGTTTGCTGCAGTGTGATCCCTACTCAGGGTTTGTACACAGTGTGACAGCCTGTGAATAACCAGCTTGATTAGATGCCTGGGGCTTCTATTCAAACAAAGATGTCCAGGAGCTAGATACTCAGCATGCCAGTAAAGAATTAGGCTTCCACGTTTCAAGGAGAAAAGCCTAAACCATAAGAGGGCAGCTGCACAGAATTTTAGGAAGGAATATGCCAGACTGTTCTTAAAATGTGGGAAAATAATAAACTCATCTCAATAAAGAGAAAAAGTAAGTCAGGCCCAGTGGCTCACGCCTATAATCCTAGCACTCTGAGAGGCTGAAGCAGGTGGATTGCTTAAGCTCAGGAGTTTGAGACCAGCCTGAGCAAGAGCAAGACCCTGTCTATATTAAAGAAATGGAAAAATTAGCTAGGCATACCTGTAGTCCTAGCTACTCGGGAAACTGAGGTAAGAGGATCTCTTGAGCCCAGGAGACTGAAGTTGCTGTGAGCTATGATGAGGCCATACCACTCGGGGATAGTGTGAGACTCTGTTTCAAAAAGAAAAAAGAATAAGTAACATACATGCCAGTTTCCAGTGTTGTTTATTTACCACAGCTGGACATGGTGTCAGAGAAAGAGAAGTCAGGAACAAGAACTAACCTTGTACTGCACATACCTCCGGCCCAAAGCACCTCAGTTCCAGAGGAATTGGGGCAGCCAGTCTCCAAGTTTGCCCCACACATCCCAACTGCTGGCACTCACACCTTTGTCTTCCCTACCTCAGCATACCTGGGTTGGTGTTCATGACTGATAGAATATATCAGAGAAGTGATGATAGGTCTTTTCTAAAATTAAGTTAGAGAAGACATTGCATTCTCTCTCTCTCTCTCTTTCTCCTTCAGCTAACTCTCTCTGGAGAAGCCAGGTGCCATGTTGTGAGTAGCTCTAGTAATAATTACAATAATATTATTGTTATTATTTGCTAGATAATAGGTGCTAGGCACTTTATGAATACTTTTTCATCTAAGCCTTACTATGGACCCATGAGATGGGTGCCATTATTTTCCTATCTGTATTGCATAGGGGAAAGTAAGGCCTCAAGAGATAAAGTAACTCGCTCAGGGATTGGTCCCCACTTCTCTTGACTCTAAAGTCATGCTCTTAACCATTCCAACTGAGCTAAAGGAATAGCAAAAAGAACACAGTCTCAGAACAGAATCTTCTGTTCAACACAGTGAATTATTTGCTTCAGTTATTACACTTTTCAACACCAGATGTTTATTTTTTAGTAATCTCTACATTCTTAA